AAGCCAATATTTTTATATCATTCTCTCGCCATAATAGCACGAAAAAAGTTAAGTATCGGTTTTGGAAAATATCGTTCCGTTGTTGAGAAAATTAATTTTTTTGAAACAGGTAGCAAAAAACAAGGAATGTCGCTTGTATTTTGCAGTTTTCATTGTTAAACTCCTATTTTTCCGCATAACTAATGTCATATTTGGAATCAGCATAAAACACTGAATTGATTCATATGTGTTACAGTAGTTTTGGACAACTTTCATTTTTCCGCAAAAATCTCGGTCGAAAAGTTCGAAATTTATTATGGGCATATGTCTAGCAGTTTACTAAGATAATAATACTTTCGTTGGGTTTGGTGACCAAATCAAACCCAAAGTGTTTAGGATTACAAATCCCAAATCTTTACCAAACCTAAACCCACCAAACACAAATATCCGGGTTTGGTGCATCCCTAGATTGCACAAATTCCGGTTTTCAGATTGTACAGTAGATGTGAGTCATCGTGATCACTAATCTGGTGAGTCATTGCGATGTCTCATTATATTGTCGTGTTGTCCTGCCAAAAACATTTTTGCAAAAATTCACCGTGAAATAATTAAAATGAATAAGTGAATGTAACTCGTTATAATGACTTTGTGCTAAAGTGCAACCCCCCCGTAATAGAAGCCCCGGGGGGTTCTAAACTGTCTAAGCGTTGAAACCTTTTGAGGGGGGCTTCTAATAGGTCCCACTATTATTCAAGGGTTTCACGCACAAAAATTTTGTAACAATTTTTAGGATTTTCCATAGCTTTTCAAAGGAATTTCGAGATTCTCATGCTGGTATGTAAAATTTAAAAGAGTTTTTACCTTAAAATTCTAAAAATTGGACAGTTTTTACTTTAGAAATACTGATAAAACTTTCCGAAAATTTCAAAATTTTTTTCAAATAAGAGGGGCTTCTACTACATTTTTCATATCGATCTCTCCAAGGGAGTTGGATGTCTGAAAATCGATCTCACTAAATGTTTTAAGATTCGGTGGAGTCCGAACAAAGAGAAAAGGTCCTTTCGTTTGGACTTTCAATATATATAGCGTCTATAATTGTTTTCTGTTCCTTTAGAATTACTTGATCGAATAGAAAAACGGAAAGTCAGCGTAGGTGGCAGAATTCGATTTAGTGGCGCGAGAACTGGAGGAGCTCGTACAAGCGGTACACGAACATCAGGGGGTATAAGAAGTATTATTCGTGGTTCAAGTGGTTCATCATCTAGAAGTAGCAGGTCGAATCAATATACAAATAGAAATACCGGACAACGTTATAATCAACCAGCTGGCACATCTTGGTCGCGTAATGCGTTTTTATTTTTGTCAGTATCACGAGTATATTCTCATCGATCCTCTGCAGCATATCGTCGCTCTGCTTATTCATCAACACCATCCCCAACGTCAGTTTATTATTGTACAAACGCGATAACAGAACAAGAGATCGAATGTAGTACAGTAAATGAACAAGATGAATGTTGTGATAAGGATCAAACTAATGGTACACTTGGCGTTGAGTGTTGTGGAGGAGCCCTACCTGATGATTGGGATTTGAATAAATCAGTTAAAAAAGCGTAAGCATGTTATTACATCATCAATTTCAAAGAAAAATGAGATTTCTTCGTTTATTTTAGGTTAAATTGGTTATCAGTTATTTTAATAACATTATCAGTAATGTTTGTTACTTTACATTTTGCACATAATGGAAATTAAATATGATTTGTTTACTTAAAAAGCCAGCGCACTTTTTCCTCTTATTTAATAAGTGTGACTTCAGCTGAAGGACCCTAAATTATGTAACATCAAACTATACTCAAAAAAAAGGTCGTAGATTAATAAACTAATAAAAGAGTATTTTTGGACTAAAAAACTGATCAAAAAACCTAAAAGACTTTTTTAACGGGTTTTTTAGGCCAAAAAACTAAAAAGCGTTCGTGGTCGTTTCAAAATGAAAAACTCACGGTTTTTGGGAGAATTTTTTGGGTCTAAAAAACTT